GCTTTCTAAGTTATCCCTCCTTCCCTTTTCACTCAATAATTCCTAGCAGCTTCCTGCAAACCATCTAACATCATGCAAGTCAGACATTTCAAAGGGTGTACCATCTTGCACAATGAGGCTGTGCTACTCATATTTTGGATGGACTTTCATAGTCTTTCTCATTAATTTGCTATTATACCAATGCTGCGAAAATATCTTGCTATGTTAAGTTCAAACAGTGCTTCTCAACCAGGAGTGTTACTTGTCCCCTGGGGGACACTGGGCAAGGAGTGGAGACATTTTTGGTTTTCATACAGGGGAGGGGTCATGAGAGGTCAAGGACCCTGCTCACCATCCCATAGTGCACAGGACAGCCCCCAATTCAAAGAATCACTTGTCCCAGGTGTCAATATTGGAGAGATGGAGAGACCTTGAGTTAAAGATACTTGCACTTTTACTATTTATGGCTGTCTTCAGATTGCTCCCAATACCTGGCATAAGGGCACATTGCTGCCACCAAATTAGGGTTCCCCTTTTCTTCTGTTTAAAAATCCCAACCCTCATCAGTGGAACAGATCTTCTGTGGCTGGAGGATGTGAAAAAAATAATTCTTGTTTTCTTGAACTTTTACTGACTTTTAGCGAATATTTGTATATTTCATCAACATTTTGATTTCCCTATGATTGTTACCAGCCCATTTTTCTACCAGTGTCAATATTTTGACTGATTTTTACAAACTATTGTTTCTTACTTGACTTTTGGGATGACACATGTGATCATAAAAATGTATATTTTATTTAGTGTCGTATGTTCGTCTTACTCCTGAGTTTCTTGCCTTAATGATTTTGCTCACTGGAGATTTTACATATAATTTTAGATGTTTAGTTAAAATAAATTTCATATTTTTTGCACTGAGGTCTTTAACTTCTCTGATTATTGTTAACATGTATGAGGGAGGGGTCCAATATTATTTTCTTCCATTCAGCCATTTATCTAAACTTTTATTCCACAATCTAACTTTTCTCACTAACTTTGTCATAGATGCAATGTCCACATACACTCAGACTCAATCCTGATTCATTTCCCAAGTGATAATGGAGCATTCAGTACCTGCCAGAGTATCACAGGAACATTGTAGGCCATATTCTAAGATGTCAAAGCCTTTGACCGTGTAACTATTAATCCACCTTTAAATCCTGAACATTTTACTGTTCTCTGTCTGGTGTCAGTTAACTGTTACTTTTTATTCTTCTGCAGAGCAGAGGATCCAGCCCAGCACCACCACCCCCATGCGAGGCAGGTTTCCCACCACAGAGCTTCACTCCCAACCCCTGGTTTAGTTCATTTTGGGGGCTCCATTCAATCTTGCTTAACACAGTTCTTTGGAAACAACCCTGGTGAGTCTGGCTTCATCCTCCTTGTATTTACACTCAGTCTCTCACTTTCTTACACTTGTTTGTGTCACTGAACCTAACTTTGCAAACCTTTCTGAAAATGGAAAGGTTACTAAGGGGCGCGTCTCTGTTGATTTGCATCTTGAATGACAGGAGCATAGATTGACGACGGCAGTACACACATGTCATGGCACAGCGCCCTCAGCATTGTATTAGGACAGATCAGGGTGGAATTGTCACCACATTTTCAGGCTGAACAAGGAGCAGAACCAGGGCTGGAGGTACCTATAGGATTAAAAAAAAAGTAGAAAGAGAGATTAAATCCCTAAATCCAAGAGCAACCAAGGAAAGATACCACATGAGCAAAGCAAGAAAGGGACCCAGCTTGTCCATTTGGGCCATTTCCAAACCAATCAGTCAAATAGGGGACAGGTGCAGGAAAACCAGATTCTTCAGCTCCATGTAAACTATGGTGAACTTGTGGTCCCTTGCCTATATCCTTTGAGGAATTGTTAACTTGTTACCTTTGGTCATTTTTGTTGTGGGGTCATATTTCTATAAGGTGTGGAACCCATAAATACATCACTATTTTGACGTTGGATACATTTCTTTCTCTTTTCTTATTTTTGCAGGACCTGCAGGGGCTGGGCCCTGGCCTGGAGCCAGAATCAAGGAGCATTTTCTTCCTTTCAGTCTCTCAGGGGCCTTCCGAGTTCATTGCCTTGTCCCCAGCCACCAATGCCCACTTCATTTCTCTGTTCTTCTCTGTATTTGTTGGGCTTTCTCTTTCTCTCTCTCTCTCCCACCCCCTCCCTCATGTTCTTCAAATGCCGAACGTAATGTAGCAAATGTAGCAAACTGTAACGGTATTTTCTCCATCTTTACTTCTCAACAGGAGGTTTACGGGAAGACGTTCTGGCTGCCATTTCTGCATCAGGGAACAGTTAATCTGATCTGGCCAGCTTTCACTGCATACACTAGGAGCCTAACAGTGTGGTGAGGTCAGAGGCCACAGCAGTGATGTGGTGTGTGTGTGTGTGTGTGTGTGTGTGTGTGTGTGTGTGTGTGCATGCGCCATCCTCAGGGCAGGGCAATGGACGCCTATTCCAAGGCGATTCCGATGATGTGACGTTGGTGGCATAAGTAGCCTGTCCATTTCCCAGGCTGCCTTTCAACAAGATTAACAGTTTACATAATGGGGATGACGGTCACTTGGTGTCTGGAAGTTTCAGCCCCAGCAGAGAGACCACCTCATTCCTCAGTGTCCTCTGACACCGTACCTTGTCACTCCTCCTCTTTTTTTGAGAGTTACATACAAATTCAGTGAAAGTTTAAAATGTGTTATCAAAATGTAAGATGCAATGTAAATGAGCAATATTTTTTTATCATCAGGTAGCCAATTATAAAGCTATTTATATAAAGACACTTACACATACATACCTCTTTTTTATTGGCCTCTTCACAGTGGCTCTTTGAGGCCCTTGAACACCTGAAACAAGTTCCTGTCTCAGGCCCTTTGCACTGACTATTCTCTCTGCTAAACCTCAGCAGATGACCTCCTGCCTCCTGCACCACCCTCTTGAGGTCTCTGTTCCAATGTTACATTCTCTGCTGATCTTACCTGGACTTAAAAAATAGCAGCACTAGGTCTTGGGGGTGCATATCCATGGTAGAGCACCTGCTCACAACACAGGAAGCCCTGGGTTTCATCCCCAGCACTGCTTCATGTCTTTCATGTCTCTTCACCATCAGACATGCTACAAGATTGTTTTTTAAAACAGCTTTCTTGAGGCATAATTAATATTCAAAGAACCACTCGTGTTTAATGTGTACAATCTGGAGAGTTTACACATGTGCAAGAATATGCACAAAAGGCAACAGATTATGATTTATTCATCTGCATATAATTCTTTGCCCATTATTGGGATGTAGGAGCTTTTGTTATTCAGTACTCTCTGGAAGAGTATGGAATAAATGTACCTCCTAGAGAAAAGGATCAGAGCAGGACAGGAGTTCTTCTTCAGTAATGGCTCCAGGAATGTCCTAAGAGGACAGATCCACAAGCAAAGTGTAGAAATCCAGTCCTGGAAGGAAATATAAAAGGTAACATTTTAACCATATCAGCAGTGTTCATCTGTGTGTTCATATGTTATTTTTCTCTTTCTGGTAGTTATATCCACTCCATGGAACCAGAAAACAATACAAGAGTATCAGAATTCTGTCTTTTGGGATTTTCAGAGGACCCAGAACTGCAGCCCCTCATCTTTGGCCTTTTCCTGTCCATGTACCTGGTCACTGTGCTGGGGAACCTGCTCATCATCCTGGCCACCATCTCAGACTCCCACCTGCACACGCCCATGTACTTCTTCCTCTCCAACCTGTCCTTTGTGGACATCTGCTTCACCTCCACCACCATCCCCAAGATGCTGGTGAACATCCAGACACAGAGCAAGGCCATTACCTACAGAAGTTGCATCACCCAGATGAGCTTCTTTTTGGTTTTTGCAGAGTTGGACAACTTCCTCCTGGCTGTGATGGCCTATGACAGGTATGTGGCCATCTGTCACCCACTGCACTACACTGTCATCATGAATCCCAGGCTCTGTGGTTTGCTGGCTCTGGTGTGCTGGATCCTGAGTGTCCTCCATGCCTTGTTACATAGCTTAATGGTGTTGCGACTGTCCTTCTGCAGAGACATAGAAATCCCCCACTTTTTCTGTGAACCTAATCATGTGGTCCAACTTGCCTGTTCTGACACCTTTCTTAATGACAAATTGATGGATTTTACTGCCCTCTTGTTGGCTTCTATTGCCCTCATTGGCATCCTGTACTCCTACTCCAAGATCATGTCCTCCATCCGTGCAATCTCATCAGCTCGGGGCAAATACAAAGCCTTCTCCACCTGTGCATCTCACCTGTCCATTGTCTCCTTATTTTATGGCACAGGTTTGGGTGTTTACCTGAGTTCTGCAATAACCCAGAGCTCACACTCCAGTGCAACAGCCTCGGTGATGTACACTGTGGTCACCCCCATGCTGAACCCCTTCATCTACAGTCTGAGGAATAAGGACATAAAAAAATCTCTGAAAAATCTTTTTGGAGGGTAACTATAGAAGGTCCTCTTGCCCTGGGGCTTCAGTAGGACCTGACTTTGGTTGCAGGAGAAAAGCCTCAGAACCACAAGTTGTTATTCTTTGATTAGTTTGTGAGTGTGAAACATCTCCCTTCTATTTATTTTCTGAAGTTTCATGGAATTCAACCTCTCTATACAGGGATATCCAATTCACTTTAATAACCTCCTGCATGCTCTAAAATCCAACAATTTTTTGCTTTGTTGTCTTGATTTTATAAATTTATTCCAAAAGTTATCCCAAACAACATATCAGAAATATTTAAAAATTCCCATTTCTCTCATGGGTTAGCAAAAAAAAATCTATTTACTGTCTTCCTACATGACATATGTGTGTTGATTAATGTTTCTTTACCTCTATGAAAACATAGTCATGTCTCTGTGGAAAAACCTGTTCTTCAGAACTCAGGAAATTCTTGCAACTTATAATAGAAGATCATCTGAGGTCACAGTTTGCTTTATCATTTGTTTGTATGTCAGTACTTGTGAAGGGAGGAATGGTAGAATGAAGCTGGTGAATTTATGCTGTGTGTACATATGAATATGCCACTGTGAATTTCACCTTTATCTAGAAATAGTTTAAACAGCTACAAATAATAGAAGGAAGACCAATTAGAGTAGAGGAAAAGGAAGCAAGAAAGGAGGGAGGGGAGGGAAAATAGCAGGGGCTGAAGTGGAACAAATTGTCTTCCATGCATATGTGTCATGTCAGAATGAACCCAAGTGTCATGCACAACTTCTGTGCATTAATAAAATATTTGAAAAAGAAAAGAGCTCTTGTTTTTAATTTTACTTTAATATTCAAGTGTACTTAACAACAGATCATTGGGGTTTGGAAAAATTGTTTTTACGCTGTTACGTTCGAAAGTTCTATGGGTTAGAATCTAGATCCCCATAAGTTATTCACCAGGCAAAGTGGTGCACACCTTTATCCCAACTACTTGAATCCCAGGTTGAAACCTTAGGGAGCCCAGGCAGGGAATGTTAGCAAGACCTTGGCTACCACAAAATAATAACAATACTAGCAATGTCAAAACAGAAATGTTATAGTTGATAAAGTGAGTGAGTACACTGCCTTTTGAAATCACATCCAAGGCCCACTTTGGGAGGAGAGGAATTGAACCTACCTACACCTGACTCTCACAGACCATCACAGCCTTTCTATGCAAAAAACGGTCCACAGGCCTGGACCTGCCTCACAGGAGCACCTTAGTCATGCTAGAATGCCGAGTTCCTGGGACCAGAGTTGACCTATGGCCTCAGAATTCACATTTGGACTTGCATCCCTGGTAATTCTTCTGCATAACGAAGTTGGTCTAGACCTGGCTTGGATCACCTCCTCTCTGCTGACATTTGGGGACAGGGATCTCTCCTGTGCATCATGGTTGATTGGCACCCGTTTCCAACATTGTCAAGGAAAAATATCTCTCGTTGAGAACGATAGGCTCAGAGCTGGAGAACTGGAAGTATCATGCCAGAATTCGAATGAAGATCCCACTCCTACACTATTTACAATATCTGTATTTTGTGACTGGGACTGTAAAAATTGCTGAGGATGGCCTAGAAATTATAATCTTCCTGCCTTGGTTTCTGGAGTGGCTGAGATGACAGGTGTGTGCCAACTTGTCTGGCCAGTCCCTACCTGATGTCAAACATTTGTCAGCCCTGTTTCTGCAGTGGAGATGTAGTTCATAATTGTACTAACACATAAAACAGACTTCATAGAATAGACTTCAGTAAAAGTGAAATTTCCCAGGTCCTATCAGGTGTTAGCATTAGGCTACAGTGTGTAAAATCAAATAAACTAACCATCTCATCTTAATTAATATCTCAAAATGACAGACTTAATGGCAGCTCTTCCCTTGTGTTATAAGTATGAATTTCCTGATAGTGTTGGTATCATGAAGGTAAGAAGAGTAATGGCCAAGGCTTTACACCAGGGGAAGACAATTCTCCCCCTTGTTAGAGGAGGCCTGATTATTGATATCAGGTGCTTTGTATCCAACACAGATCTGGGCTCTCAAGATCCGTGAGCTCAAACCTAGGTGAGCTCATCAGCGTGAGACTCAGAAAACACTGTCAGTCAAAGCAGTGATGACGTGCCAGGAGGCAGGACCTCTGGAAGGCAGGTGGGTCCATGGAGGGGCAATAAAAACTAGGTTCCCTGGGATATAAATGGGTCTCCTGGGAACAGAGAATCAGCAGGAAGAATATCCTGTCTTTCCAGGCCAGTGTCCCTCGGGGGAATAAGAGGGAAATGAGCTAATGAACAGATATAGGGAGCTGTGGCTCTCTGATCTGATGTGGTCCCTCAGTGCACAGCCCTGTGCTGGACAGGACGTGGAGGTGTCTTTGAGGTCTACAGTCTGCCCAGCACTTGACTCCTTCCTTCTGTGTTTTCTGGAGACAGAGCTTCAGTCACCATCAAGCCCACCCAGGCAAGACCTTGCACTTCCACAGGGAGACCTTCCTCCCAGAGCTGGTCTCCAGGTGAGTCTGGGAGCTCAGTGGACACTGCAGGAGAGCAGCAGAGAGAATGGAGCCCACGACTATATAGCTGAGGTCAGGGGAGAGCCAGGCTGAGCTAGCCCAGAGCAGGGTTGCTGTGGCCACTTGCTGTCCTGATGGATGATTTATTCACAGGCTGCATTGACTCAGAACACGTATCTGAGAAGTGAACATTGCACTGGTTAACGCAGGGTTCACTGGTTAATGCAGCGTTCACTGCTGACCATGAAATAGAGCTATCTGAGGCTGAAGAGAAGATGGGAGGAGGTGTCCAGTTTTCCAAGTGAAAGAACAGAGGTCCAAGGATCTTTGCAATTAAGAGAGAAGAAGAATAGGCTTTAATTGTGGAGGGACAAGAAGTTAGGTTAGGGTATCTTTTGGGTGTGTTTGTTTTTAAGATGAGAAGTATTTGATTATGTTTGTGTATTATTGGCAAAGATCCTGAGTAAGGTTCTTAGAAAAAATATCTTACTTCAAAAGTTCATGGGACACACATTTTAATGTATCATTTCTCTGAGTATTCACACAAAAATATTATTTCACAGGTGAATACAAGTATGCGTAATGGCCTTCCTTTGCAATGGTTTGAGCACCTGTGAGGCTGAACACCTCTGGGTCTGGTAGCCAGCTGCTTGTACATTGCAAAGTGTTTATGCAACTGTCTTATTGTGCACTTGGTGGGGGCATGTCTTCCCTGCTTTCTAATGTATTTCTTAAAACAGTGTATTTACACACTTCCTGTTGGCTATTTATTTTTTTTTAATGTAGGTAGAAATATATTTGTGGGGAGTGTGTGAAAACTTATGAATTTTGTAGGGTCTAATGTATCAATTGGTTGCAACTTGTTTGCACATTGTTCTTTTTTTCTGAAAGCATTGAATGATTAATTTAATATTCTTCATTTTGAGTCCTTGGTTTAAATCAAAGCATTCTTGTGTACACATTTATTGCTAAGCCAATTTTGATGTTAATCACCTCATTTTCACATCTTTAATTGCTTACTGGGTCTTTTGGAGATAAGATACATTATTTAGAAAGTTGTCACTTTTAGCCACCATGTGGAAGGTAATCATGCTTATTTCCTTTTTGATTTACCCCACTTTATTAAGCATAGTTTAATTCATATGTATTTATATGACAGGTAATGAAACTTTACATATTAATACCTGAGTCCATATTACAGGGTCATCCTTCATTTTTCTATTATTTCCAGGTGTTTGACAAATTAATATTGAATAAGTAACTCATGTTGATTTTGTTAAATAATTCCTATTTTATTTCTTTGTTCTAGGTATTTTAGATTTTCTTACAGTCAGTGCCTGCTGAATGAATATGTTGACATATTGTACAGAACCCCAACAAAATGTACAAAGAGTGCATTTTTAATCAAATGTTGAAAATATGTAAAGGTTAGTTTAATGGCATGCAGCATGGTGGTCAGCCAAGGTTAGGAAAGGTAGGTCGAGGGGAAACGGGAGGCTGGATAATGTAGATTTCAGTATAAAGTTACATCGAAGGAAGAAGTCTTTTGGGTGATCTTCCCTATTTTTTCATTAGTTTACTATTATATCAATGCTGAAAATGTACTTTGCTACTGTTAATTTCAAAGAGTGGTTCTCACCATGTGTGATATTTGTCCCCCAGGGGACATTGAGCAGTGTCCAGAGAGGTTTTTCTTTGTTGTCCACAGGGGAGGGGTCATGAGAGATTGGGGAGTACTGCTAAACATCCTGCAATGCACAGAACAGCCTCCACCCGGGAGAATAATGTGACCAGGATGTTGTAGGTGAGGAGATGGAGCAGCCTTTGGTAAAAGCATATCTTCACCTTTAGCGGCCATCCCTGTCTGCAGAATGTCTCTCCAAGGCATGGTCCCAAGCCACAGATCCTCCATCGCGTCAGAGATTTCCTCTTTTCTGTTTGAAAATTCAGATGCCTTCAGTGTAGGAGCTCTTTGGGGTCTTTTTCCAGGCAGAAGTGTGAGAAAGTGGTATTTTGGTGTTTTCTTAAAGCACAACTGTCTTGGAGCTAATCTGCATTCTTATCATCCCCATTTGGATCTCCCTGTTGTTAGCATCTGCCCAAGATTATCAGCATTTCAAGTCATTTTCCACTTATTGTTCCTCCACTGACTATCAGGACACTTTTTTTGACCATTAAAGGGTTTTGAGTTTTATTTCGTTTCATGTGTCTGTCAATCTTCTTACTGTTGAGTTCCTGTGTCTGATTTGCTGCTCACTGTAGATTTCATATATAATGTCCAGATGTTCATCTCAAATGTATTTTGTATTTTTTCCCTGAGGTCTTTAACCTGTCTGATTATTGGTAAATGTGTGAGGTAGGAGACCAGCTTCATCTTCTCCCAGACAAAAGGTCATTTTGTATGTGTTTATTTCACCATGTAATCCTTTGCTGCTGCATAGTTTTTAACTCTGTGTTATGTGAAATGCTCACATACACTCAGACTTCATTCCCAATTCACTCAAAACTCAAGGGATAACTGAGTGTTTATCACCTGTCAGAATGTAAAGGGAACGTTGTCTGTTATAGTCCACTGTGTCAAAGTCTTTGGGAATTAACTATTAACTCACGCTGATATATTAATTTGCCGTTTGATACCCTTTCCCAGTTCTTTTTTTGTTTTGTTTGTTTGTGGTGCAGGGGCTCAAACCCAGAGGCTGGTGCGTGCTGGGCAAGTGCTCTGCCATTGAGCCCCACTGTGGCCCTGCTCAGTGAGTGTCTGAAGCTCCATTCCATTTATTTAATAGCATGTTTTTTTAAATGACTGCATTGAACCTGGTTTCATCCTCATTGCATTCTTTGAATTAATAAAAGTCTCATTTTTAAAAGTTAGTTGTTACGTAACTTTGCATCCTGTTCAGGAAACACAAAGGTGAATAAATCCACAAGGTCTCTGCTATTTGGATCTTGTATCACAAGGGCTAGAGTGTACCCATGGGATTTGCCAGATGAGACATTAAGACCCCAAGCCCCCCCCCCAAACAAAACAAAACAAAACAAAACAGAAAAGATGAAAGATGCCCCATAAGCCAAGTGAGAAAGGGATCTGCTTCATCATCCTGTGACCATTTCCATTTCACAGTTGATTGGTCAAATAACTTTTGGAAAAAACTAGAATATTCTCTTTCATCCAAATACATGCCAAATGTTTGTTGTACTTTTTATATATCTCTTGAGAGTTTTTAATGTATTCCCCTTTTTGTCTGCGATCATTTTCGTGTAGTGTACTTGAAGCCACAAATACAACACTATTCTTGACTTTGGGTAATTTTCTCCTGCTCCTTCCTTATTTTTGCAGGTCTTCCAGGAGACAGAACCTGTGCTGGAATCCCACCAGACCCACGGGAGAGCTCCCTTCCTGTTAGACTCTCAGGGAGAGAGAGAGACTTACTACACCATTTCCCCTGTCCGTGTCATTTCTCTATTTTCCTGTCTGTATTTGTTGACATCTTTCTCCCCCTACCCTGTGTGTCTTTAAATGCAGAACAGAATCTAAGAAAATTTAGTCCCATGTTTGATTATCCAAAAGAGGATTACAAAATGGACTTTCTGGCTACCATTTCTGTATTAGGGGATGGAGAGTCTGCTCCATCCAGCTTGCAATGTATACACAAGTCACCTAATAGGTGGTGAGAAGGTCAGAGGCTGAGTAGTAGTGGTATTAAGTGTGTTTGCGTGTGTGCTGTCCTTACAGGATATGTTCCAAGTGGTTCCTCATATGTTCCAAGTGGTTGTTTTAATACACAGGGCAACTCAACCATCAGAGGTAATAGGCAGCTTGTTTATTTTAATTCACTGTATTTTGTCAGGTATTTTGCTGCTATGACCACAAGACCCATTTGAGAGGAGGAAAATTTATGTAGTGCTCATGGTTTTATGGGTGTTAGAGGTGTTAGTTTATAGAAGGTTGACTCTGGGCCACAAGTGAGGCAACATCCATATCCTGACAGAAGGGTGTGGAGGAGGAAAGCAAGAAGTGTTTTCTTAGACACCTTTCTTTTATGGCATGACATACAACAATTTCTTTTTTAACAACTTTGCTGAGATATAATTAATACTGAAAGGACCACATGCATTTAAAATGTACAAGGTGAGTTATGCATATGGAAATGCAAGTATGCATATGCAAATATAGGCCATACCCCCAGAACAAAGAGGAAATAGACCGTAATTTGACTATCTACATATGCTCTTTGCCCATTATTGGGATAAAGGAGTTTTTGTTGTTGAGACCTGTACAGTGCCTGGAATGTGGCTGGCACTCCAATTGTGCTCCTCTATAGTAAGAAGTAATTTCTCCTTAAAACTATTCAATGCATGAGCTCTTGTGGAAAAGGTTAGAGTGAGGCGGGAATTCCTAATCAGTAATGGCACTAGGGATGCCTAGGATGACCAGACCCAGAAACAAAACAGAATTCATTTTCTTTATTGGAAAATATAAATGCCAACACTTAACTATATCAGTAGTGTCCATATATGTGAAAAATAGTTATATCTGTTTTTCTCGTAGTAGTCACATGGATCACATGGAAACAAGAAACAATACAAGAGTTGTAGAATTCCTTCTGCTGGGATTTTCAAAGGATCCAGAACTGCAGCCCCTCATCTTTGGGCTTTTCCTGTCCATGTACCTGGTCACTGTGCTGGGAAACCTGCTCATCATCCTGGCCACCATCTCAGACTCCCACCTGCACACACCCATGTACTTCTTCCTCTCCAACCTGTCCTTTGTGGACATCTGCCTCACTTCCACCACCATCCCCAAGATGCTGGTGAACATCCAGACACAGAGCAAGGTCATTACTTATGCAGGTTGCATCACACAAATATGCTTTTTCTTGTTTTTTATAGAAGTGGACAACTTCCTCCTGGCTGTGATGGCCTATGATAGGTATGTGGCCATCTGCCACCCACTGCACTACACTGTCATCATGAATCCCAGGCTCTGTGGTTTGCTGGTTGTGGTGTGCTGGATTCTGAGTGTCCTGCATGCCCTGTTTCAAAGCTTAATGGTGTTGCGACTGTCCTTCTGCACACACTTAGAAATCCCCCACTTTTTCTGTGAACCTAATCACGTGGTCCAACTTGCCTGTTCTGACACCTTCCTTAATGAGGTGGTGATGGATTCTGCACTTGTGCTGATGGTTATTGGCCCCATCGCTGGCATCGTTTACTCCTATGCTAAGATAACTTCCTCCATCCGAGCAATCTCGTCAGCTCAGGGCAAGTACAAAGCCTTCTCCACCTGTGCATCTCACCTGTCCATTGTCTCCCTATTTTATGGCACAGGCCTGGGTGTGTATCTCAGTTCTGCTGCAGCCCAGAGCTCACACTCCAAGGCAACAGCCTCGTTGATGTACACTACGATCACCCCCATGCTGAACCCCTTCATCTACAGTCTGAGGAATAAGGATGTGAAGAGAGCTCTGAAAAGTCTCTTTGGAAGAAAAGTATAGCAGGGGCTCTTGCCCTGGTCCTTTGTAGGACCTGCCGTTGATTTCAGGAGCAAAGCCTCGGAGCCAAAAGTTGGGATTCTTTGACTCAATTGTGAATGTGAAACATCTCCCTGCTGTTTATTTTCTGAAGTTTCCATGATCTGATTTTAACTTCTCTATACAATTATAACCAAACAAAATTTACTAAGCTCACTGTACTCTGTGAAAGCCAACATTCTTTTTTGGTTTGTTTTTCTGATTTTTAAAAAGTTATTACAAATAGTGAACCAGAAATATTTAAAAGTTCCCATTTCTCTCATGGGTTTGCAAAAAACATCTTGTAAGTTATGCCTTCCAACATGATATATATTGTGATGGTTAATGTTCTTTTGCTGTATGAAATCATGGTCATGTCTTTGTGGAAAACCTGCTTTTCACAACTAAGGCAATTTTTGTAACTTGTAGTAGAAGGTCGCCTGAGCTCATTATCATTTGTTTGTGTATCGGTACTTGAAAAGGGAAGAATGTTTGAATGAAATCGACCAATTGATGCCATGTGCACATATGAATATACCACCATGAATTTACGTTTATGTATTTTTATACAGTAATAATTTTAAAAGCTACAAATAATAGAAGGAAGACGAGTAAAGTAGAGGAAAGGGAAGTGGCCAAGGAAAGAAGGGAGGGAAAAGAAAAATTCCAGGGACTGAAGTGAAGCACATTGTCTTCCATGCCTGTGTGACTCGTCAGAATGAGCCCAGGTATAATGTTCAACTTTTATGCACTAATAAAAATATTTAAAAAAAGAAAAAGGCTCTTCTTGATAATTTCTACTTTACTTGCAAGTATAGTGTATAGCATATCAGTGGAGCTTGGAAAAATTGTTTTTAAGCCAACATATTCAAAAATTCTATGGGTTAGGGTCTATACTTCTTTTCAAGATCATTATTCTGCCTACAAAAATACTCTTTTTTTCAGATTTACATTAGTTCTCATTCCAGATCCCTTGCCTAAATTATTGGTGGGGCATAGTGGTGCACACCTTTAATCCCAACTACTTGAATCCCAAGCTGAATCTTGAGGACAGCAATTCTGAGCCCAGGCTGGGAAAGTTAGCAAAATCTTGGCTCGAAACAAAAACAAAAACAAAACAAAACAAACAAAAACAAAACAAAAAACCAAACAAACCAACAAAACTTCCCAGTGTTAGGCCACCTGTGGATTCACTCCCTGGTACCACAAAAGAATAATAAGAATAACAATGACTAAACATTGTTATTATTCTTTTGTGGCACCAGGGAGTGAATGTACTTACTTTCAAAATCAAGTAAAAATCCCACTTTGGCAGGACAGGACTTAAACTACCTACCCCTGACTCCCACAGACCATCACAGCCTTTCTACTCAGAGCACGGTCCACAGACCTGGACCTGCACGGTCCACAGACCTGGACCTGCAGTACCAGAGCACCTTGGCCATGCTAGAATGCAGAGTTCCTGGGACCAGAGTTGACCAGAGTTGGCCTCAGAAATTTGCACTTGTATCCCTGGTAATTCTTCTGCATAACGAAGTTGGTCTAGAACTGGCTTGGATCACCTCCTCTCTGCTGACATGTAGGGGGTAGGTATCTCTCCTGTGTGTTATAGTTGATTGGCACCCACTTCTGACATTGCCAAGGAAAATTATCTCTAGTTGAGATGTACAGGCTCAGAGCTTGAGAACTGGGAATATCAGCCAGAATTCAAATGAAGGTCCCATTCGTGCTTTATAAAAAATATGTGTATTTTGAGGCTGGCCTAGAACCTATGGTCTTCTTGTTTCAGGCTCTTGAGTGCCTGGGATTACAGGTGTGTGCTACCATGTCTGGCCAATCCTACTTGACGTCTAACATTCATCAGCACAGTTTCTTCAGTGGAGTTGTAATTCATAGATCATTCTAACACATAAAATAGACT